TGCTTGCTTGATGTTGAAATTTTGGGAGATTGCTCGAAAATATTTGAAAAATTGCATACTTGAAGTAGTTTTCTCCCAATGCTTGTTTACAATATTGGTACCTCTTTTGAAAGAATGAGCTTAATGTTTGTGGGTACCATTTCTGGAAACCCTCACGAGACTTCACTCGTCCACTAGGGGTAACATAGGGGTTTAAAAGGCTTGTTGCATATGCTAAGTGCAATTGTGTTCCCTACGAAAGTGGCGTTATCCGTTTATTATTTTCTAGATTCATACTTGTATAGTTGTTCATTTCATTTCTTTACTTTCTAGTTCATTGCTAGGGACTAGCAATATTTAAGTTTGGGGGTGTGATGAGCGCTGAAAAGTGCGTATTTAAACCCCTTAAGCTTAAGCATTCTAGTACCTTTATCTATCTTACTTTACCATTTTAGATTGATTTCGTATTATTTTTATTTTCAGGTACTTATCCCGAAAATAAGCTAACTCAGCCAAATAAGAGCTTAATTGAAGCAATTCTGGGATTAAACAAAGAAAGGAGCAAAGTGGAGAAAGAAAGAAGTAAATAAAGCCAAAGGTGGGAAGCAGCAAAGTTCGATCGATCCAACTTCAAGGTTCGATCGATCGAACAATGATCGATCTCAGCACTTCAAGATCAATCCAAGCCTTGGCCCAAAAGCAAAAAGTCCAAAGTTCGATCGATCCAACACCGTCCTTCGATCGATCGAACACTTTTGTCCTTATTCAAATGATTGATAATATCCACAGCTGTATCACCCACTAACCACTTTTGTCCTTTTCCCAAAAATATCTCCCAAAATATCTCAGATTTGTCTTTTTCCAAAAAGCTCAACCAGTTGGATCGATTCAGCCTAAGTTCGATGGATCTCAGCCAATTCGATCGATCCAAGTCCAAGGTTTGATCGATCAAACTTCCTCTAGTGCGAAAAAGTTAAATTTCCATCTCATTGAAAGTTGTCCTTTATCCAATCATTAGGGAATATTGTGTGCACGACCCCAGCTCATTTTGGGTGTTATTTGACCTACCTATACAAGGATAAGGATTGCTTTTTACAAAGAGGAGCCAATATCATTTTCATATCATCTCTTGGACAGCAAACTTAGAGGAGGAGGAGGCTAGAGACACCATTAGAGTTCTTCATCAACAAGGAACAGATTTCTTTCATGGAGTTAGCCCTTGAGGGTTGGAGCATCATCACCATGAGTGGCTGGACATCCTCTTGGGGCTAGAGTTAGCCCCAAACATACTTTTGATATCTTAATCTTGTGTATTATTGAGGGATTAGTGTTGTAATTAATGTTTTGACACTTTGATATATATAGATCTTGTTTATTCAATGATTTATGTGGTTTAATGCGTCCAATTGATCATTTTATTCTATCCATATGTCTATGTATGCTAGAATAGATGTTCATGTGCTTGTCTCTAGATTTTATGTTATTGATGCATGTTTATGTGTATTGATTCTATAGATTTAGAGATTGTCAAAACATAGTGCTTAAAGGAATGCTCTTGTGATTCTCTTGATGGTTCATACTTATTCCTTGATGGATTGTGCCTTTCCCCTAGTTTATTTTCATGCTAGTAGTGTAGATGTAGTGTAGTTGTAGTGTAGTGTTAAATGGGAGGACAATCCATGCTTGTTATTTGATGATCCAAACTTTTGAATACAAGAAGCATATGTCTCTAACCTTGTGTTGTATTTGGATTGTGAGCTTAATGCAAGGATTAATGACTTGTTTTGATCTATTGTGTCTTTCACATGTTGTTTAGACAATATATGCTTCATTGCTTAGATATATTGTGCCTTTCACATGATGTTTAGACAATACATGCTTAACTAGTCATCCTTACTTATTGAATCAACCAAACTCACTCACACACACACGCACACCAGTATTGCAACACACCATTTGCCCTCATTAATCACTTGTCAATGGTATAGAAATGCATTGCTTGGTGGTGATCTCTAAACCCCAAGATGTCTCTCTCTCTTATTTACTCTTAATTGCATTCTTTTGTTATCACTTAGTTTAATTTAGTTGCTCTCTAATCAACCAACCAACAATTTGTTTGATCACTCGACCTACTAGCCCTAATTGCGATTCCATGACCTTGTTCGATCCTCACAAACCCTTGGGACGATCCCAACTCACTCTTGCTACGTTAGTAGTAGTGTTGGTAGTGCTTTTTATAAATTTAAACTTGACCCAAAAGGCTTTTCTTGAACCACACATTCACTACATCAATTTGGCGTGTAGGAACGACCCTCTGTCAATCTTAAAGTGTATACTTATATTTTCTTTTGAAAACATTTTAAACTCGACCCACTTAATGTATTAAAGTAATTAAAATAAGAAAGTAAACTTAATTATAGAAATTAATTAAGTTTTATATTGAAAATTATTTTGTCGATCTAACTATTTGAGCCTTTGATCGATTGATATATGCTTAAGTTCGATCGATGTCATTGGCATAGTTTGTCGATTGAAGTAGTGAAGATGTTGATCGATTAAGAAGTGATAGGTTTGATCGAGACAACAACAACTTGCTATTTTCGAGTTTATTGACTAGTGATTGACATAAAATAATTATGAACGTGTATTAAGCATAGAAAAACGTGCAAGAAGGTTCTAAAATATTATTTTTTTGATGCATACTCATATATAGTATCTAAGGAAACTTAGAACTTTATCAAAATAGCGTATATGCAATCTTTCAAAAAATATATTCTTGATGCTCAAACATATGCCAAAATATAAATATAGAAAGTATTATCATTCTTAGCAAATTGATCTTAAGCAATATTGACCTTCTATATATCTTTAGGAAAATATATATATCACGTATATATTTACTAAAAAGCTCTGGAAACTCAAACTAAATATAATATATATATATATTTATTTATTTATCACGAAAATCATTTTTCTCAAAATATGTATAAAAATAAATAAATAAACTACTATAGGAATTACCATGCACTTAAAAGTATATGATCATGAATAATATGTATGTATGAACCTAAATGGGTTATCCTAGTGGATGCTATGTTTTTTGATTTGTTGGCCCCTGGTGTAGAAATTTGGGGTACACCGTTTCTATTGGGTACTCAAAATTGGATGTTGCTGTTGGTATTTTCTAGTTATGGGGTTCAATTTAAGCAGTCTGTGGCCTGGTTGGTGGTTCGGCTCCATTCACCGGCGGCATGCTCATGGGGTTTGCCGGTTTGTGATTGTCGGGGGCTTGGCGACTGGGTCGGCTTGTGCTTCTTCGGCTGGGGATGCCATGACGTCATGGCTGATGTCCTGCACATTTTATCTAGAAGTTGTCTTCTGCTTTTTCGCCGGCCATAATCATGAGTGTTTTTGGACTCTGTGTGAGGCGGTGTAATTTGATAAGTAATCTTTAAAGTGCTTTGGTGGGTCCTAAAGCTGACTATTTTGGCCATTATAGTGCTTTGCTTGTGGGTACCAATAATCCCATTCTCAGTTATTGTCAACGATGATATCTTAACATTTGGGATGTTAGTTTAGATAGTTTTGTGTTATTGGTACTGAATGTATTTCTCTATTGTGATATGATTTCATGTTCTTGCTTGTAGATGCCATATGGCTTTTTTCTTGCCAGGGTAAAAAAAATAAAAAAATAAAAAAAATAAAAAGCAGTCTTGTATTAACACTTAAATCATCTGCATATTATATTTCTATCTCACACACTAATCATATAATCATTAAATTACAAGAGTTAGTTTTGTACAACCAAATTTACCAGTTATAATATCAGAATTGCTAAATTCCTAACAACAATTATATATCACTTTTGGACAAATAAATGACCAATTAAAAAACTCACCTAAAAGTCGTACTTTGCAAATCCGAATACCTTCTTTAGATAAATCATTTACCAAAAAATTACGTGAGTGCCTGAAACTTTAAAAGTAGAAGAGTTCTTCTCTTATATTGTTATTTGATTCCCCACTAGTTATAGATCTTAATGATTTTTGACTAATTGAAATGTGGATAGATGTTCTAATTTCAATCACTGACCATAAGTGTCTGGTAAAACAATGAAGTTCTTTTTGTGATTTTTTTGTTCTTTTTGTGATTTTTTGTTAGTCACATACAAAACATGAGTAATATGCTAAAGCTTCCTAAAATTATTCTCATAAAAATACAAATTTGGGTTAAAGGCAATTTTATCTGCGTGAAAATTCTAGCCTTCTCGCGCACGTGCGTGACTTAGCCCGAGACCTCTTGGGCAAAATGAAAGCTCCCAATCTCCATCTCCTAATAAGGAAAATTGTTGGTTTTGTTATCAAATAGGGAATAAATATATTTAAAAAATATTTTGAATTTTTACGTTCTGGAATTCCACAACAACAATTTTCATTTCAATATATTACAAGTAGTAAAATATATGTATTCATTAATTTTTTAATCAGTATTTTTTATTATTATTTATTAAAAGTCTTACCGTAATTTTCTATATATATATAAAAAAGAAAAAAAAAAAAAAAAAAGATTAAGTCAGTGCATGAGACTCGCATTAATATAAATTTACTAAAATAATCCAAAAACTAATCAGCCTCTAGAATTAGTTCTTAACTAACCATGTAAAAATCAAAACTAGACAATCAAAATACAAATTGCAACACATCTCTTATTGTATTGTTGCTAGATGCGAAAACATATCCTCCTTTTTCTTTCCTCATGTGTGAACTCTCTCTCTATTTCTCTCTCAAGAAAGGTGGATTAATGCTCCCTTGTTCAAAAGAGAGGATATACCCAAGACTTTCTAAATCATGTCAAGTTTTAAAAGGTAAATGATCGAGACATACAATTCACCCATAACAATAAAAAACGCATTAACACGGCGACGTTTTGGAACACTAAGCAACCGTCTGAGAGTATCGGCTAGACATGAAGCGTGGGGAAAAAAATGCATGTCTGGCTGTTCATCTTGCTTTTGAGACACGCGTCAGAGAATTTAAAGTTATCTCAAATTTTTTCTTTTTAGTTCTTACTTCCAATTGACCGGCTCTGTAAAATTTTCATCTTTGCGGATTCGATTCGATTCAATTCGATTCCTCTCCACACGAGGGGAAGAGAGAACATTCATTAGAACTAGGGCTAACAATTGTGTGTTTAGAGAGAGAAAGATAGAGAGAGAGATAGAGAATGGGGCGAAAGAAGTTGGAGATGAAGCGAATCGAAGATAAGAGCAGTCGACAAGTGACGTTCTCGAAGAGACGGAATGGATTGTTCAAGAAAGCTCGAGAACTCTCCATTCTCTGCGACGTCCAGGTCGCTCTTGTCATCTTTTCCAGCCGTGGCAAGCTCTACGAGTTCTGTAACGACAACAGGTCAGTCATTTTCTCTCTTAACTCTCCCTCCCTCCCACTCTGACTCATCAGATCTTTTTCTGTACCTTTTATTTTTTATAATTATATAGTTGACTTGTCAAAAAAAAATTAATACTTATATTGTACGGACGATTTTTTTTTGGTAATCATCTCCATGGTTCTTGCTTTCTTTTAGTTGGGTTTTTATTTTTTTTCTTTTCTCTCCCCTTGTTTCTGTTGATTGCTATAACTGATATTTTTAATATCTGGTTAGTGATATAAATAAATATCTTTGTTGTATGTGCCAAATTGCTAATTAGTCATAATCACATGAAATCACTTGTGATGGGGATGTTTTTGTGTCCTTTATATCGCCGGGCGCATCAACTGCATGCTCATAAACTCAAATAACATAAAGTAAATTCCACTGCATCATGTGACCCAGCCGCATGTCATATCAACGTGTACTTTATAATGGAGGATTGAGTTCAAAAGCTCACTCATCTTCTCACCAAATTGATCTTACCTTGTGTTACCAAATGAGCTATTCTAGCTGGTACAAGTCCTCTTCTTCTTCAAAGGGGAGGTCAGGTGTTTGAGCTTCAGTAGGAGGCATGAGTGTGTATTTGCTTAATCTTCTGAAAAAAAAAAAAATTCTTATCTTCAGTTTACCGACCTTTATCATCTTGAACATGTCTTAATGAAGCAATCCTTTACAAGCTTGTTTGAGTTTGGAAATTATTTGTACTTCACTCATTTAGACAAGGTTGGAGGCTTGATGACTCCAACCTGGCTCTATGGTGGGTTTTAAAAGTAAGAGAGAGAATATCAAACCACGTCTTTTGTCTCTCTCAAATTTATTTGAATCCATGGGTACGAGGGTTTCATCCAAGAAGAGGAAGGGCAAAGTAATTGTATGTAAAATGTTTTCATTAAAGAGAAAGAAGGGCGAAGAAATTGTGGTGAAGAGGGTTTATTCCCTATTTTCTCCTTTCTCTTTTTTTCTAGGGTTTATTCCCTATTTTCTCCTTTCTCTTTTTTCTTTCTATTTTTCCTCTCTCTAAAATTCCAAAAGAAATTAGGGAAAGAATTCAAATTTTGTTCATTACACCAGGGTACAAGTAAGTTCACTTTTGTTTTAGTTGTGTTATGGTCTGATAGCATATAAGGGCACGGTTTAATCAACTTAAGTTATTAAATGGAAGAAAGAATATCTTTCGTGTAAGGGTCACTTTAATTAAGAGCACGGTCGTGCCATCCTACTTATTTCCTCTCGCTTTTTTAGATTTCCTCTTCTGTGTGATTGAGAGGATTAAGAGGTTGCAACAGAACTTTCTATGGGGAGGGAAGGGGGAGGAATTCAAGTTTCATTTGGTCAATTGGGCGCAGGTGTGCAGCCCGATCTATTTAGGTGGGTTGGGTATTAGAAGACCGGCGCCTTTCAAGAAAGCCCTTTTGGGGATGTGGTTATTGAGGTTTGGGGTGGTGAGTCACAGACTGTGGAGGAAGGTGATTACGAGTAGATTTGGGGAGGATAAAGCTGGCTGGTGGTCTCTTGAGGTGAGAACTCTAGGTGGAGTTGGGGTTTGGAAATTCATCTAGAAGGATTGGGCTAAATTTTCTAAACACATCAGATTTCGAGTTAGGGATGGCAGCACAATTTTTTTTTTTGGGAGGATGTTTGGTGTGGTGATCGTTCTCTTGCCCTCTCTTTCTCCAGACTCTTCAAGATTGCTACAAACAGACACGCGTTGGTGTTTGACTGTTATTGCCTTGATTATGGGAGAACGTTTGGGATTTTCATTTTCTAAGGAGCTTTCAAGATTGGAAGATTGAGGACGTCATTGGTTTTTTGGAGATGCTGAATCAATAGGCGATTATGGATGGTGTTCCTGTTCTATGGTGCGGGTTCCTTCTTCCCAGGGTCGCTTTGAGGTTCAGTCGTTCTATAGGTGTCTTACGAATTCTCCAGTGGTTTTGTTCCCATGGAAGGCTATTTGGCGTTCTAAGGCCCTTCTTGAAGTAGCTTTCTTTGCACGGACATCTGTTTATTGCTTGAAAGAAATAGGAGATTCTTTAAAGTAAAGGAGGTCCCTATTGGTGCGCTGTAGTTCTCCATTATTAGCACTCTTTTTTGTTGGGTTTTAGGGAGAAATTGTAAATCCATAGATAAGATAATTGAGTTTTTGGACTCTTTGAGAGTTTAAAGGTCCTATTTGGCCTTGTGTAACTTTTGAGGGATATGTACCCCTTTTGAGCGCTTACTAGAATTTTACTTATTAAAAAAAAAAAAAAGGTATGCTTACGAGAGGTAAAGATGAGAATTATGCTATGAGGAAGTGGATAGTTGATATAGTTTGACTTATAGATTCCTAAAAAAGTTAGAGAAAGGTGAATAGATTCATTTTGTATATTTATTGATTGATTAAAAATTTACATTTAGTTAATACTATGATCCAAATTGATCACACCACAATCCAATCAAACACAACAATAAAGCAAGGAACGTTCACATTATGGTTTTTATGTGGGTAAGTCACTTGGCTTTGGTGCCTCAAGAAGTATCTAGTTTAAGGTTTGACTCCTTTTGAGTAAAAACAATTCCTTGGAGGGGGTGTGTGTGAGTACCAACTAGGAAAAAAAAACATTAGCAAGGCAAAATTATGGGAATGTACTATGTTAAAGATAACATATACGAACTTTAATTCAAACTTATTCCCAAATGAATATTGCAAAGACGTACTCATACGAATGTTCGATTTCCAACTTAAATTCTTACGAGCCTAGTTGTTGTAGAATCAACCATTAAGTTTGGGTCAAGGAAGCTCAAGGTGATACAACATGCTAGGCTTAATAAGAAGGCCCAATTCTAAATCCGAATGGGGTGGGTTGACCTCAAAAAAATAATGAATGGAATATCCAGTCGACTAATGGTTTGCAAAGACATGATAATGTTTCTAAGGCATGGTTAAGTCCAAAATAGAATTAAAAAATAGTCCAAACAAAGGAGATGGACATGGGCTGAAAATCAAAAGTGGTGTGCTGGGAGTAGATTTAAAAATTAGTCCAAGCAGAGGAGATGGACATTTGATAGTTTATCGTTATGCCATCGGTTAAATTGCTTACGTCAAGATATTACTACGATCTTGGAAATTGATAGATGATTATTGTAGACTAGCTAAGTGAACGTTTGTTGATGAACACTTTATTGAAAGCATGCTCCAATAGGAATATCTTAATGATACTTGATAGGTGAACACTAGTAAAGAATTTATGAAAAGCATGCTCCCTTAGGAATGCTTTGATATTACATGCTTATGTGTCGCATGAATTGCATGACCTCAGGGTGGGTAGGTTGAACATCATCTATTGGCTTTATTTGCTCACCCCTTAATATTTTCAGGGAAAGACCTTCCAGACATAGTATAGGCCACTCTAGGCTTTTGAAGGAATTTTGGGAGTTTCGACTTGTTTTGATGCTACTTGACTAGCCATCTTGATGCACATGATTATTTCAGACTTATTTGTAATCGGATATGTTAAACTTGTATTTGATAATTTCTGGCTCGGTTTGTAATGAGGCTGATATGGCCATAAATTATATTTAGGGCATAAAAGTGATATGGATGTCTTATTGCTTATTGTTGATTGTTGCATGCCGTTGTGAAGATGATTCTGGTAAGGGAGGTTGAGTGCGATGGCAACGAGAATAGACCTGCAAAGGTGGAGGGGAACTATGCTTGGGTGGAGAAGGAGATTCCAGGACAATGTGATCTTCAAAGATAGGAACATGACGGATAATAGGAAAGATCTCCTTCTCCAAAACACAAGAGAGAGAATACCGTACCATATAATTAGTACCATAAAAAGGAACAGTTTTATGAAATGTCACATCAAGAGAATGGTACATGTGTTTGGCCACAGGATCATCATAATGATAGCCCTTTGACATATCAGAATACCCCAAGAAAACACACCCAAGAGATTTATCATCAAGTTTATGATGTGGAGGACTACAGTTATGAACAAAACAAGTACAGCTGAAAACACGAGGCAAAAGATGAAACAACATATAATCAGGCTGTAGAAACAGAAGTGGGGCCTTACCACCTAAAACTCGACTAGGAGTACGATTAATCAGATGAGCAGTTGTAAGAACAACTATATTCCAATAGAATTTAGGCACATGCATACCACTCAAAAGACATCCACCTAGACATAAGATGACAGTTTTTACGTTCAGCCACGCCATTTTGTTAAGGAGTGTAGGGGCAAGTGAGTTGATGTAAAATCCCCTTTTTATTAAGTTCAGACCGGAACTCATTAGAAACATATTTACGCCCATTATCAGAACGAATATTATGAACAACAGTGATATACTAGGTTTTGATCATTTGGAGGAATTGGGTAAATAATGGAAGCAATTTTTCAATAAATAAACCAAAGTACAACGAGAATAATCATCAATAAATGTCACATAATATCGATACCCAGTGAAAGCAGTAACTAGGGAAGGGCCCCAAACATCAAAATGGATAAGATCAAACATACTAGGAGTGCGACTCATATGAGAAATATAGCTAGCTCTAGTATGTTTAGAAAGCTCACAAACTTCACATTGAAACTTATGGTCTTTACATGCTTTATTTAACAAAGGAAACAATAAACATAGCTACTGAAAGTTTACATGCCCCAAACGGGCATGCCATCAACTTAAAGTGCAAAAAGAAACATCTTAAATACTAGAAGAAGTTAGGACAGAAGCTTGAAGACCTGTTCTTGGTGGTTCCCCAAAGTAGTAAAGCCCGTCACGCTCATAACCCCTGCCAAAAATCCTATTCGAACGAAGGTCCTCCAAAAGAGAGTGGTCTGGTAAAAATATAAATCACATTGGAAATATTTTGCAAGCCAGCTAACAGATAAAAGGTTAAAGGCAAATCTAGGTATATGAAGGACAGATGAAAGAGTAATATTAGGAGAAAGACAAAAATACCCTTACTGTGAATGTAAGATGTAGAGCC